GGGTATTTCATTTTCTTTTCTTTGGATTTTTTCTATTGCTGAAGCTCGATGAAATGTTTACACTCCGTTTATTTACTACAAACAATCCTGGTACTTTTAAGCTTGGTACTTTACTAAAAGGTACCCACAAAATCTCGTTCGCAAGTCCCCTGATCCATGTTGCATACGAACGTTCGCCTATAGCTGGTTCCCCGCGTAATCCACCAAGCATTATTCATACGGTTGATGTTTGTGTTCGTTTAGACAAGAGTCGCCTTGACCCGCGAGAAATTGATGAAAGACCCCCACGTTTTGAGCGGAAAAGTCGCCCCGAATTAGGTTGGCCGCGCTACATAGCAATTCGGCTCGTGGGATAACACTGAAAACATTCAAAGTCGTCGATCCCAAGAATGCGATTTCGATCGCCGTCGCCCCACCCCCGTTTCGATGCTGATCCTCTCAGAATTAGCCGCTGTTGTGAAAGGAACACTTGATCTCATTTCAGGTTCAAAAACAGTTCGACGAAGACAAGTTGAAGGAGGCACTCCTCCAAAAGCAAAGGTACCACCGCGTTGTTTCGTTGTGACTCGACCCCAAGACTCCTTTTAGATGGGAAAAATGGCAAATGGAGTTCGTCGAATCGCAACAAAGAGCTCGCGAGTTCAAGGCCTATTGGGAGCGACGTCGCCAAGACGATACGGACCTTTGGAGAGACAAAGTGAGTGAAGGTCCCTGCATTGTCGCTCGACGACTCGTACGGTGCTTGACCTCCTTGTAAGGTCAAACTCAATTGCTTGCTCAACAAACAGAGCCATTTAACTGTGCCTACTTAGAGAGAAAGAGCAATTACTCCGATTACATCGATGATGCTACTTATGTCAGGTCACTGGCTGGTAAAAGTTAAATCTGAGCAAAGCTACCCAATAGAATACTTTCCTAGAAGGTTCCCTTGACAGCAGTTGCCTTTTAGGATTTTGCTGACGCGGTGTACAAGATGAGTCGCGCCGGTTATAAGGGAGAGTACGGACATCACGAAGTTCCGGAAGAAGATAAGACTTATCTGGAAGCTCTTCACAAACAAGTCACTGTCGGGGACTACGGTACGTGACCTCATCATCACAACATATTCTGTTGGTCATTTGAAACGTTGCTTTCAAAATAAATAGCCATTTTATACCTGATGTGTAGACGGAGGTGCTGCAATGGCAAAAGACGCTGCTTACCACGAGAGCCGTCTGGGGATTAAATTCAGGATTGTATGTCGTCCAAGCCAACCAAAGTCTCCGTCCTTGATTGTTGGGCTGATATCAGTGTCGTCTGAGTGGGTAAAGAAATAACGTTGCACAGACGGCTGTTCCTTCCCGCCGGTGTCCCCAGGGCATTGTCTTAGGCGTAATGCGCATTCAAGAAGACACTATGATTTTGAAGTGGAAGCGAATGCATTGGCGGCATCTGCGTATCGGCCGTATACTTTGGTTAGTCCGTTCAACCCTGCTTGTATTAGGTTGTCTCATAAGTAGTGTCGCTTTTTTCAAACAAAAAATTTGTGCTAAATCCTCATGCTTTTACAACATTTCATATACCATTCGAAAGAAAATTGTCTGCACTACATGATGTTACGTTTTTCTTCCACATTCCGTTGGAGTACATCTGTGGTGAATTTTTGTACCATACAAAAAGGAGTTCAGTTCAAGGAAAAATTGTGCCTAACGACAACTACCCCCTAACTTCGTGCGTCCATGGGAGAATTTAATAAGTGATGTTACCTTCTAAACTTAGTGCATGGGAGCCGGTCGTCTTGAGATTCGCACCTTAAACATGCCGGAAAGGGTGCAGTATTCCTTTCGGAATTGGGCCGTACCCGAATAAGCCATGGCACCATTATTTCAGATTGAAATTCTTCCTCTGACAACCTACCTTTGGGTACTCACTGCTAGTAATCTTTTGTGAGCACTTCTTCTGCTCTATTCGCTCATTTGTTTTGTTTTTATGTTTGTTGGAATTAGTTCGAATTTTAGGTTAAGGTGTTTTGTCCACGAAAGTGACCGCATTTCTTTGAAAAAATTATCCCTGAGAAGATGAGAAAATCAACCAGGCGTACATTCCTAACTTAGTCATGACTTGTTCTTGAAATTCTACTAGTTTTTCAATGTCTCGGCTGTAAAAAAATTTCGACCTAGATCTCAGGTAATGGTGCTCGACCGTCGAGTTCTGGTTGAAAAACCAGGTCTGGAAATGGAATGACGCGACTTGTTGGGAAACCTAATAGTGTAATGTTAGAAGAGGTCATGATAAGTAGAGGGTACATCATTGATTGATTTCTCCAAGGGAAGATAAAGTTAGAGCTAGTTGTCGGTTTGGTCAATTTTTGTCGGCTGGACCTCCCATTTCGCAGGCCTAAAATTTGAAAACCCTGGAACAGGTGGAAGAAAACATAGCATCTTGTAGAGCAGACAATTCTCTTTCGAATGGTATATGACTCGATGTAAAAGCATGGGATTTAGATGAAAATTTTTGGTTGAAAAAAAGCGACACTACTTATGAGACAACCTAATATAACCAGTGATCGGTTCCCTGATCCGCACTGTGATGATCCTCATGTTTGCTCGAGCCTTTGTGGTTCCTTTTATAATGGGATTTGGTAGTCATTAGGTCGAACTAGAAGGACTAATCTTTACCAAACAACCAGGAAAGATCCTCCTGCTGAGCACTTTTTTCCATGGGAACACCTGAGCATTTGTTCTGAAAATTTAAGGGTTCCAAGAAAGACTTCTAATTTAAGTATCCTCTGTAATTTTATTCATGAGACAATAGCAGTCATCAGAACTATGGTAACATTTATTTACTTGTTTGTTTGTTTATTTGCTGATTTTTGCGCCTTTGCCAAGAGCATTCTCAATAATACCCCAGTTCGTGAAGTGAAATTTATTGCAAGGGATGCGGACTGTTAGCAAAACCCTCCGTCCCAAAGCTGGAATCAAAGCCTCACGCACCACTTGGGAGAATGGTATAATCGGTAGTAAAGCTGCCGGTTCCAGGCACCGATTATTACACTACCGGAGAGTGCTTCCCTGAAGCTCAACCCTCAAAACTCACCATAGCTTATCAGCGCTTACCTAGAGCCCAGCTTTCTTGTAATAACTGGAATCCCACTAAGCTTCTAAGGTTCTTAGATGGTGTTTGTTCACAGACGTGACTGAAGATCACCCATAAATTTTCCTGGGTTCCCCTATAGCCCAAAGAACATTCCCTACAGCTTCAAATCAAACTTTTGATATGGTTCTCAAATTTTTTTGAGCGAACAAAGTACCTTCTCAAATATTTCGAGAAAAATTGGAAAATTTTAGCGTTAGTGAAGGCACGCCACACGATCAAGTTGATGTGGATGTGGTGAGCGGTTGTGCCGGTGAATTTCGGTGAACATGGAGTGATAGGTATATTGCTTCCTTGTTATCTTATCCATGACATTAGAAAGCACTCCCATGGGGTTTCTAACACAAAGGATAACCTGGTTCAGGACCGTTTCTTTGGACCACCGCAGGCCGAGCTGTGGGAGTACCTCAAGAATACTTTCACACTACATTCATATTTAGCAGAATTATATATTTCAGGGCGGAAAAGGTGTGGTGGCGCGCTCACCACGCGAGCGGTCCGGGATCAAATCCTGGGTCGTGAGTCGCCCGGGCCAACCAAGCCTTCCATCCCTCCGGGGTCGGTTAATTGGTACCAGACTTGTCTGGGAGGATAAAAAACACTGACTTGAACATCGGCTGGCCCCCGCAAGTCATTGTATAGGCCATCGCATTCAAACGCCACTGCGAATGTACAAATGGAAGTAGAATGCGTGCCGCATCCCAAAAAGGGATTGATCAACGGCAAATGCTTTATCCTTTATCCTTTATGTTAGAACAAGAGTCGGAGAAACGTGCCATGAGCGCTCTCCTCTTTAGCTTTAGTAGCGGAGAGTACAACGAAATTTCTCCACTCGAACCACAAGATCACGGATCTCGGTAGATTTCATCATGTTCTAGGGCAACCCGTTTAGTCTAACCATAAGCTTGAAAATGATTTTTGCCTGAAATGGTAAATCATCTCGGAAATGTTCTGATAATTGATAATAGCAGTGCTTCCAATTCTTTTTTAAATCCTTGGCTTGTTATCCTTCATTTAAGTTCTCATACGTAATCCGTTGATCCCTCAACATTCCACCAAGTGCTTGATTCAAATAAGTAATAAACAAACAAGTAAATAAATAGGATCAGAAAATCTTTGAGTGGCCAAAGAAATCTTGTACAGTTTAGTAGCGGCGTCTCTTTTCCAATCAAATAGATTATCATGATGAAGGCTCCAAAAGTCATTCCTAAGCTCATTTCTACTTATAGGAATTTATCTTCTGATTTTGGACCTTACGACGTTAAAACTTTGACAACTAATCTCAGCTTAGGGGGATCAGCGAATTAAGGCAATGAAGGGAGCTTCCAAGGAATTAAGGCAATGAACGGAGCTTAACTGTTCATCATTCGCAGTTAATCTGCACTCCGCAATATCCTTCAAAATAAAGCTACTATAATCTGAAGCTGATAGCTGGAGATTTTGATTAACACGCGTTGACGATAGCGCGGATTTGGGCTTTCTTGGCCAGGCGCGATGCGCGATTTTGCTAGCGCGGCCGCCTCACCTCATTTCCGTAAATTTTGAGTAACAAATATGCCAAACATGAATGGCACAAGACCATTTCAGTAATATTCAATGCGTAGAAGTTAGTCGGGGAAATCGAGAAATATTATAGTGGTGGAATTCTTATCAAAGGAAAGCGTTATGGTATAGAAAGAAATCCTACTCATTTCTCTATAATGAAGGACAAAAAACATTTTGACGTGATTGTGTCCAGAAAAACATGTTTTCTGTCCGTATGGTTTTATACTTTCTTCTACTACTCTTTTTTTACTCATTGTCATGAAAATAAAGAAAAGAAGGAATCAGCGGGTTGCCAGTCTCGTAACATTAGAAAGCTCTGTTATCGAAGCCCATTTGACTAAACGGTGAACCATGTTATTTACAGTTACCTTACGGGTCTAGTCCAGTTAGGGGGCGTGACGGTGCACAGTCTGCTCTAATGCCAGTTTGGCTCAAGGAGTCCTTTAAATTTACAAAGTGCGATCAGGTTTTTTCAGGTCTACGGACAAGCTTGAACTCAGCCCTTTAAACCGCCTCGATTTGACGCTCTCGCCTGCGCTCTCTCGCTTAACAGCGGCTTATGATTACTGTGATCTACACATTCAAACTTTGCCACAATGTAATTGGCTCACCCACTACGGAGTCCCTCCTCCCTTCAAGGCTTAGTCCTAGAGCTCTCAACTTCCTGGTTGGGCCCCCGCTTTCTGGGATAGCGTCCAAAAGGGTTAGATAAAAGTCAAAAGAAACCAGCGAAATGCGTAGGAATGAAATAGCCGGCATTGGGAGAATATACACGTATAACGCGTTCAGCTTTAACCAGTTTTGACAAATGTGTGACCCCTTGACTTCACCACAATGCTTATGTTTAGACGAAATACCTCCGTATCTTGCGATAGCCCCCACTTACGCTAACTAGTGGTCCATAGAATGAGTACAAATAATTCGAGAAAAAGTAGCGTCAGCAAAACGGATGACTTGGGTGGGGCGCGTAATCGCGCCGCAGTGTCGTCAATGTGTTAACGTCTTCAGGAGCTCTCTGCAAAGGGTGAGGAAGGTCTGGAATTGAGTTTGAAAAAAGGAGTATTCCTTCAAAAGCGCTTCGCGAGGGCTGTCTCAGAGTGATTGCCATTATTAGAACATGGGTTTTGGCGAGAAAGTTCTCGGTCCCTCGAAAGCGATCCAGCTCAAACGATAGAAAAGCCTGAACAGAACCACCAAAGGACGAAGATCGGCGAGATGCGTCACGGTTATGGCTTTGACTAAGAGTTCATCCCCTGTGCCTTGTTGCTCGTCGCTATTCGAGTCTAATCCAATGCTAAATAAAACCAACTCTACCGCATTCTTTTTGAGTTTTCGCGAGTAAGGCTAAATTCTAATCCATGCGAAGCTCCCGGCTGAAAGGCTTCATTTCTTCGAGAGATTAACTGTTCA